CTGCTCTAGACTTCCCAGCCTCCCGAGCCGTGAGCCAAGTCAACTGCTACTCTTCATGTTAGCCTGCGTGCGGTATCCCGTCACAGCAACAGAGAATGGAGCAAGATAGCATTTAAAGTACAAATGATACGAATTAGGCTACTGACCCTCATATTTTTTGTGTGTGCTTGTTGTGAAAAATGTCCACTGTTGTTTCAAGACATGGCCTTAAATCAAAGTCACAATATCCAAGGGAAAAACGACCCTAGGAAGAAAAGAGTGCCATTTAAAACAACACAAAAATAATCTAGGCATGGTGATACACCAGGGGTCCCACCCACTAGGTGGCTGAGGTAGGAGGATAACTTTTGAGCCCAATGAGTCCAAGACCAGCCTGGCCATGAGCGAGACCCCCATCAAAAAAAAAAACAAAAAACAAAAAAACAAAACAAAACAAAAAAAAAACAACCAAAAGTGATACAAAATGATGCCACACACCTATTCATAAAATCATATCCTACCTGTTGTTTCTTAAAGTAATCAAGTCCCCTTCCGATCTTAATCATCCAGCCATTATTGAACCTATTGAAATAGTTATTAGCTTTGAGACAGTGGATTGTTAGCAGAAATTCCCAACAGGGAAAACCATTTCTTCCAAAGGCATGAGTTGAATCAGAACTAGAGCTCATCGTGGGCTGTGTCTTCAATGAAATAAAAGGACCGTAAGACGAGTCAGCTGACTTGACTGGCTAACAGTTTAACAGTTAAGTCAGAGCTGACTCTAGAATTTCAGCTTGGTGAAAAAGACTTCCTGCTGTGCTAACAGGTGGCTGCAGAGTATTTTCAGAGAGACCCTGGTAGTCTCAGGGGTTCCCTTCCCAGTGATTGGGGACAAGAGCACAAGGGGTCCTGGCCCCGACTCTGCTTTCACCAGAGCACAACTAACTTGCCTCTATTTTGTGTCTTTAGTTTGTGCTTAAGTTTTCATGAAAACTGGTGCCACTGTTATAATCATGGGAAAACCCCTTCGCTACACCAAGGGAGACTAGCTCTAAAACAACTGCAGGCACTATTTCCGTACGGAATCAGCCTATTTGGGGGGGATTTTTTGTCTGTTTTGAGGCAGGGTCTCACTATGTAGTTCAGGCTGGCCTTGAACTCATGGAACTCCTCCTGCTTCAGACGCACAAGTGCTAGGATTACACGCATGCGGCACCATTCCTGGCAATTCAGGATATTTTCCTGTTGGCCAGAATATTTACTTACCCACAGCAAGGAAAACTACATTATATAAAGATTTATTTCACAAAAAATGAATTACTTCATTTTCTAGTGAAATTAATCATAACATTATATGCAGTATGCAGAAAGGTCCTCCCTATTCCTATGTGATACAACGTGTAGATTTTATTTTCTTCTGCAAATAATTTCATAAGACAAAGTAAACTAAGGTTTTTTTAATCCTCAAAAGTAAGCAATTACTAAAATTGAGTTTTAATTTTAATGTTGAAATATATTTGTATGCAATTATATAACAGAAATTTTAAAACTATATTTAAGCTACATAAAAATTAAAGTATTATTATACACACACCTAATTTCTCGGT